AGGGTCTTCGTTTTCCATACACCTTGCAGAACCTGCCATTCTCAATTTTCAGTTAAAATGTCAACTGCGCATACTACGTCATTGTCATGTGTTCAGGTCACATGACAGAGGTCATCTTGAAATCCGTCGTTCAATCGATTAAATTACGTTCGGTCTAATTATACACAGAAATATATACTTTTCAAGAAGAAATAGTCCTTCATTTTCGGTCAGTAGATACCTAAGATGTTTGTGTTTGCAAGGATAACTTTTATTCGTTTTAAATTTCATTGAAATCGTTCGATAACATCAAAAATAGCGTACGCCCCGGGATTCCGGGGCGGCGAACTGTGCGGTTCTCAATGGACGCGATTTGCAGCTCTATGGCCGCAACGTAATATCAAAATAGCTTAAGCGGCCAATAAGAGCTGCTAAACTGCAGCAAGGTTGGGTAACGTCCGACACACGGGAATAAGGTTTACAATGTAAATTACCTTGGGTGGTCGACTAGGAATGCAGTCTAACAAGGCATTCAGTTCAGTAAACATGTTGACGAAGGGCTAGTAGTGATCTCCATTCGGTGGCAATCAAACTTACGACCATAGCACAGGAATATTGAAGTAGACCGAACTCATTCTACGGAGGCTGCCATTTTGGATATAAGTAATAAGCGCCCTCATACTGCAACAGAAAAAATATGCTGCCGCAAAGCATTGTGGGACAAAGTACTCGTTTGGATAATGTACTTTCGGAGGAGGACGGGTGGAGTTGGATAAGTGGTTGAATATTCAGTAGGAAGCTGATAATTTAATGACGCACAAATTTTAGCTATCTCTATTCTTGTTTGTTTCATAATTACATAAATATAAAGAATAAACACAAAAATAACTTGCATATGTTTTGTCGCATTTGTCGAGATTATTTAACCAAGAAAAAACAAAATGGACTACGACCCAACTAATACTACTCACTGTGTACATCTCGCACTATCTCGCGTTATTTGATGAAATAATAAAGGACATCGCGTTACTACGTTATAGTCGCGTTAGTTCGATCGGTTGTTTATTGAATTAAAAAATTAAGCCCTAAACACGGTTACGTAACCGTGCCCTAAACAAACTTGGCACGCATTTGACCAAAGGAAAAGCCGCGTTGCTAGTTTGTCTATAGTAGTCTGAGCTACGAACAATGAATTATAACGTGGGCTTTTATCCGGGCTTTTAGTGACTCCGTAACACACACTCAAAAACTACATCCAACGTAACTGTTGTATATAGACCACAGACATATTTTAGTTTCCGCAATCGATAAGTGCTTATCAATTGTAAGGCGAATCACTGCGAATCACGCACTGACACTAATAATAGCATATTTTGGCACACATACGGACAGTGGCGGTAAACAACTGATAAGAAATGTCAGTGATTTGACAAGTATACATTTCAGTCTGATTAAAATCTGACGTAGGTATAGAGTCCAATTAGTATGTGTAACGACCTTTATTGATATCGTATCCCTTCTGGGATCTAGATTAGAATACAATAAGGATATAAGGAACAATAAAATACATAAGTAATAATAATAATAAAAAAGAAATAAATAGTAATACTGTGAAAATATTATTATATAAATATTTTTTGGTGTTATTTTGAGGCAGTTGGTAAATTGCTTTTCATGAAATTCTCTCTTTTAGTGAAACAGTCGCTGATAAACTTGGCAATTGCTTGGACGGTTTCAGAATTTTGTTATTGAGAAGTGCTTTCAGATTACCGGATAGTTTACGTTTTCAACAAGCATCTCTTTCAAAT